GAACGCGTTGGTGCAAAGCCTACACCAGGGCAGGGCGTGCCCTCTCTGCTCCAAGTTCGTTCTATCTATTAGCCAATCATTTGTCGGTAGGCAGCGGTGCTCGATATGCCACTGCAGTGAGGCAAATTTCACTGGTTTTTCCTTGATCGTTCCGAAGCACCTTATGTCTCTTAGCTTGTCCTTGTCGATGTTTAAGTGGTTCATCCAACGTGTCTCCACCCGGTTGTGAAGGTTTAATTTCGGCCTTAGGAGCCTGTAGGTCGATTTTACTGTTAGGCCGTATAATGATCTAGTAAGTTTTTTGCCCTTTCCTGCTGGGGTTGTTCATGCCCATTCTATCGGGTCCAGGGCGAGTTGGTGGATCGGAGGTAGGCGATCTATTGCTTTCTTTCATGAAGCACTCTAATTTTGGACAGATCCTCCTTTTGGCAAATAATTGTTTGTTCTGGAGAGTTTTTTTGAAGGACGTTATTCCAACTTATTTGGAAGAGGTTCACTCTTATTGATCCGTTGGGCTCACAGTAGACAATGTTGCCCACCTCACTTGGTCGATCCCTCAATGCCACCCAGTCCAATTCCTGCAGGGTGGGGCCTTTCCTTAGGATTCTCCACCAGGCTAGAAATATTTTTTATTATTATTGTTTCCAAGGCTACCTCTGGTCGATGGTTGTGGCTTAGTCTCTCTCTTAGCTGGTCCGGGTCAATCCAGTTTCTCTTTCCATATCTCATATGTCTTTTATCCTTGTTATTCCTCGTCTGACCCAGTCTTGCCATGGAGAGTCCACGCAATGGAGGGTTTGTCCCTTCGAGTCTGCTACCCATCTATTGCCAGAAAGGGGTTGTCGTGCTACCTCTTCTCATCTCTCTGGTGGAGTTTTATCTGGTAGGGGCAGACTTCTCCATATTTTTAGAAGGTCAGTCCAGAAGGGGTCATTGCGTAAATCGACCCTTGCTGCTTGTCTGGGTGAGTCTGGGGGGGGACAGCGATGTTGCGCACCTCCTCTTGGGATGGGCCATCCGCTATTTTCCAGCCACATCAACGGGTCACTCTTCTCAACTGTTTGTGGTGCTAAGCGGGTAATCTGTTCTAGAACTAACCCCCTCTATGGTGATTCTAGATTGAAAAGTAGACATTTGAGTCATTGGATTGCTAGTGCTTTAGTTTGTATTGAAGGATCGATAATGCCTAATCCACCTTTCAATTTGGGTTGGATTATAGATTGTCAAGCCACTCAGTTGATCACGTTGCGTTTCTCATGATTTCTTTTCCACAGGAAGGCAGCTCCCTCACGCTGCAAGGGGCGAAGGGCGTTTTTGTATAATGCCCAGATAACCTGATTTATACCAGAGGGAGGCCAATACCACATTATTAAGTATTAGGGAATGTCCAATCAGTGAGGTATGTTTGTCCTTCCAGAGTGTCATTTTTTCCAAGGGTGGGCTAGAGATCCATTCATTGTTAGTAGACGACCTGCCTTCTGCTGACATCAACACCCCAAGTACTCTAATGGGGGGCTCCTTTGGAAGTCATTTGAGCCTAGGTTCTTCTGGGGGTCTCACTCCTTGGTGGTGTATCCATCAGCCTCGGGTTTTGTTTCCCCAGTTGACCTTCATGTCAGACATTCTACAGAAACGGTCCATCATGTGTTGGACCTCTGCCATCGATTCATGGGAAGCTTCGATCATTAAAGTCAAGTCATCAGCAAACAATGAACACACTGGAATTGCCTCCTGGGGTATTGAAGACACTTCGATTTTCTTGATATTCTTATGTCTTCTCAGGTTGGCTGTCAGTGCTTCCATAACTATGACGAACAGGTAAGGGGCTATAGGGTCACCTTGTCTGTCCGACCTTTGGTGAGTAATGGGCGGGGCTAGATTCCCATTCATCATGACTCTAGTTGTCGCGTTCGTGTGTAGGATCTTCACCCAACGTCTGAAGCACGACCCAAAGTTAAGCTTCTCCAGGAATTTTTCTAGGAACAACCAGTCTACATGGTCATATGCCTTCTCAAAGTCAATGAAAATGATCGCTGCATTGTGTTTAGATTGTCTGGTTAGCTTTGATCATTTCATTTACCAATGGGATATTGTCCTGGATGTTCCGGCCTTAAATAAACCCAGTTTGGTCGGGGTGTATAATATCGGTCATGAATGGTACCAGGCGGTTAACCAGGGCTTTAGCCATTAATTTGTATACAAATGTGAGCAGTGTGACTCAGGAAGGCTTGATTTTTTAGGGGCCTTTTTAGGGGTGGTATTGTTAATGAAGGGAATGGGTCTTGCTCTCAAAATGACATAGGCTAGAAAAGGACAAGGGAAAAAGGAAGCAATCCATGACACTGTCTCGGGGTCCCTTGACCATAACGAAGGCAAGCATTGTGTGGGTACCTGTTGTAAGGGAAGCAGGACCCGGTTTCCAATCTTATTCATGAAACTGGTCTTTAAACCACAACTCTTTTTCCCGAAGTGGAGTAGAACCGCGAGCCAAACTTTGTTGAAGCGCCAGTGCGACATCTTTCCTTTTGCTTTGCCTGGCCTGGCACCACCAGCCATTTTCGTCTGGTGGCACCCTACGTCCGAAGAAATTCAATGCGGTATAGGTTATATTCATGACGTAGCCTTCCACTCTGAAAGGTAGTGCTGGTTTATTTTTAGTTTTTTTTTTCTAAAACAGGAAGCTCAAGAAGACGACGATGCCGAATAAGAATATAAAGTCGGAAGTCGATGAAGCCAAGGAAGAAAAAGAGGAAGAAGAAGAGGAAGAAGAAGAAGAAAAGGTGTTGTTGTTTGGTGGTGGTGTATGAAGATGGATTCAAGCCCTCAAGCTTTGTTAGCATGCAGTGAATCATTGTTGAAACCTTATCAGCACTCCAATCTGATGCCACGGTTAGTGCTCCCCACCAATAGACTGGAGCCCCCAGTGCGTCAGGTAGGAGTGTATGCTCTTATCAGCACTCCAATCTGATGCCACGGGTTTCTGTTTTAAAAAAAAAAAAAAAAAAAAAAAAAAAAAAAAAAAAAAANAAAAAAAAAAAAAAAAAAAAAAAAAAAAAAAAAAAAGGATTGTTAGTGATGTTGGTAAGAGCATCCATCACTAGCAACCTAGCTATGGGCTCCAGTCTATTGGTGGGGAGCCGCACCTGCTGGAAAACGGGTCCAGCATCCCTCATATAAATGGCGTTGATACCTAAAACAAAATAGGAAGAGAGGAGTATTGCCTCTTCAGCCCGATCTAGGCCGCCAAATACCCCTGCTAATGCTAGCAGCACTACCCCATATGGCACAATTTGATATGGTCCCCCAGAAATACTTTTCATGACAGTTACAACCATCTCCCATTGGCAAAACAAACCATTGAAAATGGGAAGGAATCAGGGGAGCACTCCAGTGACTTGAGCATGACTCAGAGCCTCAGAGGAGAGATTGGAAGGGATCAGGAAAACATTCCGGGGATCTGAGTGTGACTCCTGGCTGAAGTGAAAACCAGCCTCTGAAGAGGAGATGGAAGTCCCATTTTAGAGGTTCTTCCTGCTCTTCTCCTCCCGGCCATTTCACCTCTCCCAAGCTTCCTCCTTCAGCTCCCCCCAGCCAGTCTAGGTTGAATTTTTCAATATAACTCAGGATATCATTTTTCTGATAAAATGTTGCAGCTTTGAATGAACAGCTGACGAATGCGCCCGTATTTCCGTCTGTACAAATCGGACAATCAGCTCAGCAGTTTCTGTTCCTTCCAACTTCACTTGGCTTTTCGGCCTATTTCCAAAAAAATCTCTGAAACTCTGAAAGCTGTGTACCATTTGGTTCCCAGTGACCCAAAAGAATGTTGAAACTCGAAACGTAATCGTGAAAAGGTACATTCCAGCTCCTTATGACTCGATATGGCGAATGACCAAATGTCAAAAGTGACGAATGAAGTTCAATAATTACCTGCTCAACCAGTCAATCCTGCTCAGTCAATCCCCTGGTCTCCAGGGTAATCAATGCTGGCAGGCTCCTCCTAGGTTTCAGAAGTGTTCTGACGAGTTCCATTTGTCTCATGCTTGTAAGGGACGCTGGACCCGTTTTCCAGCAGGTGATGCTCCCCACCAATAGATGGAGCCTACCCCCAGGTGCTAGCGGTGGCTGCTCTTATCAGCATCGCTAGCACTAGAGGGATCTGTTTTAAAAAAAAAAA